TTTTTTTTTTTTTTTTTTTTGATCTGCAATGTCTATTTAAATGTGTATTTTATTGCATCACTACAGTACATCATCCCCACACTTCCCAGAGCTGAATCCTCTGTGTCATGTATTTCTGATATTAATTTTTTTAATGATTCTTTGAAGTCGTTATCTCTTAAACTAACTTAAGCCATCACCGGCTCCATATCGTACACGTTACCTTAAGGATTTTAGCAATATATATATATATGCTTTTTAACTGATTTTTGCTTTATCACAAAAAAAAAAAAATAATTATATCTTTCTTGGCGCCCAATTTGTCCTCGGTAATAGAGCTGGAACTCCGCTGAAGTTGCTGAAAGCTGAACGTATAATGGAAAGCAGACATATGCTTTAAGATCCCAATGCTGCAACTGTTACTCATGCAAATTAAGTCCTTGAAGTCAGCAGGACTATTCATATTGGTAGGAGCTATTTGTGCAAGTCAGACTTGCAATATCAAGACCTATTTGAGCATGCACACTTCTATTATCCAAACACGTGTAAGCAAAGCTATCAATCAAAAAACCCTAGTCTGAAAGATAAAATGGAAGCAAGAAGGGAAATTTAATTAACTAGTTTCCAGAGAAGAGGTTTGAGATGGAAAATTCTGCCGTGTATTCCAGGTAAGGGTATGAATGAATAATTGTTAAAATAATAATTCTTTCGATTTCAGCAGTGTAACTACAGCTACCCAACTGCCCTGAACACACACAATCCTTTCACAATAAAGAACTATCACCATCTTGGGTTTTTTTCACAAGAAAGGTTTTCTTAATTTTAAAGACTTTTGTCCTAAGTAAATTCAACTTATGTAAATTCAAAATATGGCTGGGTCTGCCTATCCAACTCTTCAGAAATTCATCCATAATCAACCGACCGTTCCCTGAGATGCCTGGTTCCTCAAGATTCTTGTCCTACATCCTCTTCATCAGCCTCTGCAATATCCCACTAACTTCCTGCTCCTGAAATTCCTCAACACAATATTCTCAAGCCCAGAAAACTACCCGGAGGCCAGTTATAAACAGAGTCCCTCCGGAGTCTGTCCTGGGACTTACCCTTTTTAATATCTTTCTCGGTGACCTGGAGGGGGAGACACAAAGCACCCTCATCAAGTTTGCAGATGGCACCACACTGAGCACTGCAAAGGGAAGGGCTGCCAGTCAGAAGGACCTGACAGTGGGCCAGCAGGAACTTAATGAAATCCATGAAGGCCAAATGCAAAGTACTGCACCTGAGAAGGACTCTCTGCAACGATACAGGCTGGGTACTGCCTACCAGGATAGCAGCACTGATGGAAAGCACATGAGAGTTTAGCGGGCAGCAGGCTAACCAGGATTCAGCAGTGCGTCCTGGCAACAATGAAGACTAACAGCAGAGTGGGTTGAAAACCAGCAAAATAGCAAATCAACAGTAACCAACAGATCGAGGGAAGTGATTATTCCTTTTCATTCAGCACGCAGCCCACAGCTAGAATACTGTAATGAGTTTTGGGTCACCAAGTACAAGAAAGACTTGGAAAAACCTGAGACCATGGAAAAATCACCAAGCTGGTTACGGGGTTGGAGCGTATGACCTATATGAGGAGAACCTGAGGGTTCTTTATCCTGGAGAAGAGAAGGCTTAGGGGAGAGGTTATTGAGAAGATGGAGCCAGACTCTTTACTGAGGATGCCTGGAAGAAGAATGAGAAATAAATTCATGAACTGAAACAGCAGACGTTCTGACTAGATATAGGGGAGAATTCTTCTTTATGAAGATATTAAGTCCTGGAACACTGCACAAAAAAATGTAGACTCTACCACCTTCCAGGTTTTTAAGACTCAGACAGACAATGCCCTAAGCAACTCTGAACTTAGTGTTCACACAGCTTTGAGCAAGAGGTTGCACTAGATGACCACTCAAGTTCTTTTCCAACCTGAGCAACTCTATGATCCCTGTCCTCCTGCATAGCTCCAACTTCCTCCCATATTCCCTACTATTGCACAATACCCTTAGTTCCCTCATACATCTGGCATGTCTCCCAGTCCACATTTGTCCAGCTTGCTAGCTGGGCACAGTCAGCTCACCCTGAGGATAGCCTGGCAAGTCTGCGCAAGAGTGCTGCCTGCCAGCCAACCAGACAGAATAGCAAAGAAAAGAAAAAAAACAGTTGATTTCCCCCTCAACTGGGACACATGGAGGGACTTTCTAGCTGCTGATTTATCGATGGATTCAAAAGTCACCTGAAGGGAGAGAGAAGGAAGGAAAATAGAGTGTTCAATCACTTAAGGCTAGTTTTCTTTGGAAAACAGACTAAGGAAAACAAATTTCCTCAAAAATGAATTAGCATCCAGAAACCAGACTACAAAAAGACAAAAAGATACATTTTTAAAAAGTCAACTTGACACGCACAACATTCATCATGTGTGGAAGCATCATCACGTCTTCCCTGCTCTAAATTACATTAGTCAAAATCCTGCTAGCACAGGAAGTCAGAAGCAGGGTGCATTCCAAAGCTGTATACTACATGGAGATTTGACGCACTACTTAAATACTTGCGATTGGGGCAAGGATGGCAAAATTACCAACGTGCTCCTGAAACAACAATCTCATCTACACTTGAAAAGGCTGGCCTAGTTTCATAAACAGTCATGTGTACCACTTTATTGATCCACTGACCTAAGTTCTGATACCATTGTTTAGAGATCATTTATTTTTCCTTTCTGTTACTCAGAGAAAATGCCAAGTAGAAACTCAATCTATGCAAAGGGCTGGAAACTGTTACTTTTCATATGTTTCTCCATTAAAGTCTTAGTATTTTTTTTCTTCACTGCTACATTTCTTCCTGAGTTTCATCCACTCTCATTTATAAAAAGCATACTGGAATTCTGTCTGCCATCAAAGGAAAATAATGCTGATCTCTAAATAGGAAATTCCTGAGATGTTCTTCTAGTCTGCATAATTACTTTTCCCAGTTTCAATACAGAAAGGCTTCTCTTCCCTTTGCAAGATTCCCTAGACTGATGGTGATGTGGGAAAAGAAATATAATACATAGTTTTAAGAAATGTGTATATACATGTATATATATTTTATAATACTATACATAATTGTATCACAATATACAAATATCTTCAGTATATTATTCATCTTTCTAACCAAGTGACTGGACAATGGCTTCTTTTTTTCATTTAGGTCTTACATTATGGATTCTGGTCTTAATTGCGCCATCTGATCATTGCAATAACGAGTTATAACATATAAACTTACATATGTACAGAAACAGAA